CCTGAAATTGAAGCTCTTTCATGGATCTTTACGGTCCCAGATAAATCGTATCACCTTACTTTGCCAAGCCAACACAGTGGGATTTTATTGACCACTTCGTTGATTTGTAGGCGTCCACATCAACAATCATGTCCAGCAAACTTTGTTCTAGCGACAAAGGGCTCTAAATCTTTACGTCAATAGCTATCCAATCAAATTCGTTGCTGTAAATCCGGTTTAAAGGGACTTTGAATAACTTGAACTGAAATCTAGTCATCTTTTCCGAGCACGAACGGTTGTCAATATTTCTTTCTTCTGTCCACAAATCCAATTTAAGTAAAATTGAAAACAAAATTTCCCTGTTCCAGCTTTATTTTCAAAGTATAATTTTGTTTTTTACTGCTACTTGTCTGCGAGGAAAAAGACCTTCCCTCGACCTCTGTATATTTTTCGCATAGTGGCATGGATCACGAAATTCCGCATGCAAATAAGCGTCAATGCCGAAAGGGGCAATGTATTGATTTTACACCTGATCCGCTTAAGTTTTTCCAATTGGAAAAATATTTTTGTGTTGTAAACAGGAGTAGCTTTAGTCATTGCAAACAGATTCGCATGTGCTTCTCACAAGAACGGTTTTATTTTGCAAGCGAAACTGGAAAGAGCGCGTTCAAAAGAAATGGCTATAAGTGAGTTTCTTTTGTCCTTATCGCGTCAGTAGCATAAATTAATTATGCTAATTAACAGATTGCCCAGCATTCCACGCGTTCACAGCCGTTCGTGAAGAGAGCTTTCCGGTGACGGGTGTTCGAATGTTTGAAAATGGTGGGGTGAAGTTTCGGCGATGAATTCGAACCTGTACCTCCTTTTTCTTTCCTTTTTACTCTTCCAGGGAAGTCAGCATATAGGAGGTAAGTACTGTACAATTTGATGCTCTAGTTGTTTTATTCTGGAGTAGTTCCCGAAACTGGTACCGACGTGAAAGATTGCAGGTACACCGAGTGATGTTCACGCGTGGTGGAGCGGAAAGATGTCTTGTACCAAGGTTCTTGTAACGGAGGAATTACGTCGTGAAAATTTGAATTTACGTAGTTTAAATTTTGAAACTTTATTGCGTTTATTTGGGAGGCTAGATCTTCTGCCAGGCTTGTTTTCCAACGACGTATAGTTTCGAAAACCAAAACTCGCGGTAGGTGTAAATGAAGTTCTGTGCGAAGCGAACGGGCGAGTTGCTTGTTTACATTTACATTATTCATTGAGAGCGTTTTCTGCTTGAATTTGATTTTTTGCCCTTAAATTTTGGGCATGTAGGTTATAGTATACCTCATATGTTCCTTATTTTTCTGGCGTTGAAAGCATATTACTTTTGCCCTTGCGACCTGTTGTTTTTCCGCGTTTTACGGTCCACTGGCGTGAAAAATATTCAAATTTTTGAAGTTTACGGACGTCCGCTGGAAAATATTGTGATCTCTCGACCATGTATTAGAACTACTTGAACCGACATAAATTTTGTTGGAAGATAGGTTTTGACAGAATTTCTACTGCCAAAAAAGAGCAAATAAAATTCAGCTCAGCGTCGTGAAGGAAAGCGAAATTCAAACATGGCGAGGCATATGCAACGAATCTCATATCAGAAGAAATGACAATTTCCCAATGTATCAGTTTTCAAAATACTAGTTACAGCTTCTTGCTGTGGTAGAACCAACCCTTTGTTGAAATCCTGGTTTGCCGGTGGGATTTTTTTTTCTCCATATCTTGAGATTTAGAACAAAGAATTAAGGCAGTATTCGCCATTTTAGACCAACAAGCTTTTCTGTTCATGTACCTTTTTGCATATTTTTCATTCGTCAAGCATGTTGAATATGTTTTTCAGGTGTGGAACAGAAAAGAGCCGAGTATGAAAATGTAGTAGTCACTGACGGACTAGAGTTGCACAAGGTTTTCGATTCCTTCAGGAGAAATACTCCGACGACAGCGTCTTCTCTGAGCGACGAAGAAGAGAGGGATTTAGAGAGCGCTCCAGCGACCGGGCTCGAAGACTCTAGTTTGGATAGTCTGGAAGATGAATCAAGTAAAAATCTCTTGGAGGAAACGTTACCGAATAGTGGAAGCCAAGCATTAGAAGATAAGGCTAATTCTCATGATGTCGAATCGAAGGAGCTTTCGAACAACGAGAGGCGGTTAACCCCGAAAAATGACGGAGAGAGTAAAAATCGGCATGATATCAGGACAAATAGAAATTATGAGCGAAAGGAGCGATTAAATATTGATTCGAAGAGAAATAAAGATCAACGCCATGCCACAAGAGACGGTCTAGCCCGAGATGGCAAAAATAAATTGGCGCAAACTGCCGAACAAGGCAAAACAGCTGAGCTGGAATCTTCGAATGGCGGATTCGCGGTTGTTCCAGATTCCAACTCGTCAGCGTCAACACCACCTCCGTACATCTTGAAAGTAAAGAACACCCCAGCCAGAGCAGAGTTGGACGACATTTATTTTTTATGTAAGTTCTTTCTCTCCTTTTTTATCTAACAGAAATCAAATTTAAAGTCTTAATATTGTTTTCAACAGGAGACATTTTTGGGGAAGGTAATTTTTCAAGTGCTATTTAAGTGTGACAAATATTCAAATATCGCGATTTCTGATATGTGAAATTCAACCTTGATTTAGGAAGAAGTGGGCGGCTTACAACATGATCACTATTTTAATGTTATTTTCAGTTTTTCATTATATTAGGCAACGTTAAAAAGACGCCAATGTAGCTACTTAGTAGAGACACGAAAAATATAGTGGCGCCCGTGTTTTTACTTCTGAATGTTTCGTGGGAAATGATTATAGTATTTTGTTCATTGTTTCGAAAACGAAAACAAGGAGTGTGATTAGCTGGAAAATGTTGTAGGCATTTTCCAAGGGTGATTGCTTCAAAACTTCCAAAATTTTGATTTATGAAGGTGAGGCTGGAACTAACTAGTCCGGTGATCTGCGGTGATCCTTTCTCCTTTATTTCCTGAAATACGAGCCATTTCCTTATGTTGGCGTGTCGAATCTTTGAATCTTCATGAAGTCTTTGTGGGTTACAATTTCTTGCGTATAATCTTAATTGTTATTTTTTCCATTGCAACAAATACGAAAACTCTTCGTTAGGGAACTACCATTTCCATTCAGCGGGGGATACAATGTTCATTAATTTTGCAGTTAGATGAAAGTTTGTAAAAATAATCCTTTATAAGACGCTTTGGTGTAAAATGTGCATACATTCAGAATTCTTTTGACTAACGCAACATGCAGACCGTTTCTAGGACTGTGTATTAAAACTGACGTAAGTTTTTAATGTCGGTAGATTTCCCTTCCTGATGACGTTTTTTCTTGTTTACTCCTCAGGCAATATTGACAATATTATATGTTATATTGTTTATTCAGTAGAGTCTCGGCATTATATCTCTCAGAAATTTATAATGGTGTTGAGATATTTTGATAGATGACCAATAATTACTTTTCAATTCATTTACTCTTGGACTCGTCCAGAATAATATTGCACTTGGCTTGCAAACTAGTTTCTTTTTATGACATTAATCATCTTAGGTCATGAACTTCAATGAAAATACAGGACCAAAAAAATTTGGATATGCTGGGGAAGCGAACATTTATTTTATCACTACCGTGTTTCAGGAAATAACTGTTGCTGTGAAATAGCAAGTAATGACTGTAGTTTTTAGAAATATTTATGGAATTATTAAAATCAAGAAAATTTTATGTTAAATGGAAGTAATATTATGGTTTCTGAAAAAGTTGTGGCAAAAATTGGAAAAAAAAAAATATTGAAAATTGACAAATAACAATGACTTTCAGACTGAAGTTAGTTTTTTAAATTCCATAAAATTATAATAAATTTGCAGAACTAGTGACTGTTGGAGTATAAGAATATATCCTGTACTGCCCTTAAGCTTTTATGATGGACACAATCAAATTCTTTTAAATTTTCAGTCACTTCTATTATAATAAATTGGCAGATGTTTTCACCTGGCTGATTCCTTTGAACAAAAAGGGCAATTAGATGGTGTTAATTTTTTGACAATGAAATATAGTTACTGTTGTTAGCAAGCTGTCCTTGAATGGACTTATATTTGGAAAGAGCTGTGGCAAGAGAAACAAAAGGAAACTGTTTTAATTAGTAACACTGTGTAGACAAAATGCTACTCAATGCAGGTTTAATGAAATTAAATTTTAAAACATTTTATGTCAGTGCCAGTGTTTGGAAATGTCCTTGTGAAAACAAGATTCATGTTTCAAATGTATGCTTTATCGGTCTATTTTAAGGTGCCAAAAGATTATCTTCCAACAGTTGATGCAAAAGTTTGGCTCAAATAGCTAAATTGAGTAATGGACAGCTCTGGGTAATTTGAAAACATACAATCATGCGTGTCTACTCAGAGTGAAATGATTCTTATCATTTAATCATTAGAATTTTTTATCAGCTTCATGGAACTTTTAGACTTTTCTTTGCTGTAAGCGTACATTAAAATTGCAAAAACAAGTCTATTTTATTTTTGTTTGTAGAATATTCCTGTAAGTTAGAGGTGCAAAGAGAAAATTTTATATCAGGGCAGAGTAATCAACTGTCCTTTTTGTCATTTGTTTCTCAGATTTACTTCCAAAAAGTCAAACTTCACTGAGTTTTGTTATTTTCAGTTTTGTCATTACTTTGGAGGGTTGTCAGTTTTCATGGGTTGCTTCTTTCGAAGGGTGGATACCTTGGTTTACAGTGGTTTACATTCTCACTGAAAACAGCATGAAGAGAGAGAAGAGCAAGAACTTTATTAGGAGACCATAACATGGTACAGCTAGTGAAAAACAGGTCTCAGTTTCAAACAGATTACAATCACTGTGTTTACATTGGAGTTTACATTGGAGTTGTTCACTATCAAAGCTACCCAGTTCTTTTGCATTATAATTCTAGCTTGTTGAGCTTAAAATATCAAGAAATTTCTGTGGCTTTATTGGGTCCAAGTAAATTGAGTTGCAAAGATCAGCTACCCAAATTATAATATTAATAATGAATAAATAATAATGGTACTTTTATAGTGGAAATTAACATGTGGATATGTTCACATGCACTTTACAAAATTATTCATAAAAACTATTCACAAATAAAAAATTAAAATGGAAATCATGATCCTAATTCTAATGATATTAACATTGAAATAAAAAGAAAAATGCATCACAATCAGTGATAAAATAAATTAGAAGAACAAAAGAATAAAATAAATAAACTAAAAAAATTGTCTCTATACATCAACATTATGAACATTATTCCAATATCATAAACTATGTAATTAATGTCAGTTATATATTATAAGCCACTTCAAATAAATATGTTTTTAAAAGAGGTTTAAAGATTGTAAAAATTTTAAACTTATTACATAACTACAATTGTATGTTACTGGCATTGCTGCAAATTAATTGGTTATAATAATTGGTCTTGAAAATAATAGAAATGGGGTCAGTCTATGGGAAAAAAGGACACATTGCTTTTGGACTGAGACGTGATTTTTTGTGTCACTGTACCCAAATTTGCAATCAGTCAATCACAGACTGTGCTTACTGTCCTGATATCCTGCAATATCAAGTCAATGACCCAATAGGGCTACGATGTCATGGTCACTTTGGCCAAATTTGGGTATGATATATCTATAAATAATGTTATTATACCTTTTGTTTTAGTCTGCTTGGCAGTATATCGGGTGCCTTTAGTCTTGCCACCAAAATACAAACCATGGCGCAACCAAACATGCCTAATATGCTGCTGAAACATAACAAAAAAGTATGATGAGGTATAAATACAAGTCGCAGGGACTGCCTAGTGGTAGCAAATTGTAATAAAATCACTGTGACAGAGGACATTTGTGGTTGTTGTGAGGCAGGGAATTTAACACTGAATGATTTGCTATTTTAAATCATGGCTAAGCCTACAAATTCATAGAATGTATAAACCTCTATCGTGGCTTTTTTCATCACTTTGCTTGGTACAGTTGTGGAGAAAAGTAAAAACTGCAAAAATGGCAGGAGTTTTTGTTTAGCTGCCTGACTTTGTCTGATTCATAAACACCTTATTTTATGCAGTGCCTCATTCCCTAAGGCATCAGTTGTAGACAGGTTGCCTCCCACTTTCAGTGAAATTGAAAATGGACCATGAAGCATTTTACTATTCTGCCAAAATGTAATTCTGATTAGCTTGACCAAAGTAATGAAGATTTTAAATTTGAAGACTTCTTCTTGAACTTAATACTGATTTAAAAGCCATAATTATTATTATGTTCTTCATATCAGATTTGCAATGAGATGCTATTATTAAAGAAATAGCAAGAATAGTTGCAAATAGGCTTGTGTCTCTATGGAAACACGTCAAATTTTGCTGTCTAAATATTTTTTTCAAGCACTCGACTCTCATTTTCTATTTTCTGACAGTAAGGGGATTGTTTTTTGAATTGACGAAACAACAAAGCTAAATTACATGTGACTGTGATGTAAGCATGTCATTTTAACAAAATCTTTTTCTCTTTAGTTATAGTAATTGGTTGCAGTGTGGCTGGGATTGCAGGGTTGGCGTTAGCAGGGTACTGCTGGTATAAGTAAGTAAACTCGCATTAATTTTGTTACAGTATTTCTTTGAGAGATGTAGTTTTTAAGTTGTTATTTGTTATGTTATTCAAGCAGCTTACCAAGTGTTTGACTTCAAGTAGTTTATCTTTTTGAGGGCAAAGGGAGAACCCTTTAGCTTGTTCAGCGGTAATTACTGCTGTTTGCATCACTATCTGGCCCAGTTATTCACAGCACAATTGAGCCAGTTAATGCAGCATTAGTGTGAATTTTGTCCATAGTCTTACAACAGTTTATATTTACCTTTTTGTATGACCTTTTCAAAAGTCATCAACTCCTCCCCTGGTGTGTGTTTTCTTGAATACCAAGCCTTGTTTACATGAAATTATTCTCAACTCTCATTGTCCAAGGAATTATGTCATCTTGCTCCATTGGGACTTTGATAATAATTATTTCATCTTCACTTTTTTACTTAATAGAAAGTAAGGCTTGGGGGTGAAATTAACACGAGTATCGTCAGCGAGCGAGTAT